CAAAAATGTTTTTTTTTTTTTTTTTTTTTTTTTTATGTGAACACTTTTTCTACTCCGATATATAAGATGATATTATTTTTTTTAAAAAGAAATTTTCTTAAGATGGTACTTTAAGGAGGTAATTTTTTCCCTTGCATATTTCCCAATAAAAGGGAAAAAGTAAAAAATTGAGGAAAAACAGGAAAATGTACAAAATATATTAATAAACCGGAAAAACGTAGAAAAAACGAGAAAATCAACAAAAAATTAAACAAATATTATTAAAGAAAATGTATAATGTTTAATTATTTAATTTATATTTATTTATTTTACCGTAATATGATTTATATATTATAACATCATTACCAATTGAACTGCGCTCAGAATCGTTTTACATATATAAATTATATTCTCTTCTGTATTCTATATTCCTAGCTTCCCACTTGCAATAGTGGCTGCAGAGAAACATTTTTGAAACTGCAGATTTTATATTCTAAATGACAATTTTAACTTTTTATTCAGAATTATGCTATGCAATAAACATTAATAAATAGGGTGACGTCCACATGCGAAGTATTTCCGTCTATTTTAAATTTTTTAAATAATTTGTTTTTATCTAAATACTAAATTAGATACCACAAACCCCTATAATTAGTATAACTACTTAAGTAGTTATAAAATTAATCATAAACAAAGTCGAGTGTACTAATATATTGTTGCCCATGGGTGTCAAGATCATAAATACGGTCAAAGATATGCAGTATTTGGATTACTATTAATTTTCAACATTTTTCAATGACCGTTATACCCTTCATGTATAACGGGCATACAACTATATCATTATAATTATCATTATCCGAGTAGAGTGCAATGTACTGATATTATATTATTTTAAACGCAAATAATAGCGTGGACATTTAATTTAACTATAATCGTAATAATAATTGTTTTTTGCGCGGTTCTCTCGTCTATAGTACGCACAGTTATTACAATTATTATAGTATCTACGGATTTCGTAAGCATTCGTATTTATTAGATTCTAAATGAAGCAAAGAATATTTTGGTTTTACTATCACATGTAATTTTTTTTTTAAATTTTGCGCTACCTTGTGTATATTATATTATATTATTATATCTTTTTCCTTTTTGATATTACTAGTGGCTCTATCTGGACCAGATGAGCTCAAACTCGAAGAAATTAGGTTTTTTTTGTAGGAGGATTAAAATCATAAAAGTTGGGGAGAATTTCAATATGAATTTAACCACGTTTTTACGGGTGGACGATGTTTTTGTAGCTTTATACACAACTAAAGGCTCCTTAAATGAAATCCAGGGAATCGCAATTTTCTTTGAGCATGGCGTTTGTTTAAAAGATGTCACTTTTGGAGGTTTCAATTTTAATCTCCCACCCCTATAAATTTTATGCTCAAATTTTACCTTTACTTTTTTTTTTTTTTTGAGGGGGAGGTGTAGTACAATTGTAATATAATACTGTATTATTATCATAGTAGGTACATATTATTTATACCAAAGTAGTTGGAGTGGGATTCGACTGGTAACTATTTACGGATATGTCTGGTTCGTTAAAAAGTTGTTTACCAGACGTCTTGTTGCAATCAGACATTGTAGCAAAATGGTGAAATTTATGCAAAACCATTTCTGTTGAAATTGTTTTAAAATTAATTTACGATACTTTTTTTTTCGTTTTCATATCAAGGTCCCGGAAATCAATAGTCTGAGCCGCTGAAAGTTTATTCATACCGACCATATTTGAAAAATGAATGTATACACACTCACAGATACACAAACACGGCGTGTACATAACTACACGCCATAATATATTTGTATTTGTAATCGCAATCGAATGACAATATAATAATAATAGCTAACACCTGTACTTAATAATAATAATATTATTACTGTTACAAAATATTCGATACGGTACATATTATTATTATATTATTATAGTGTATGTGCTGCCGCGGCGAGTCGTGTGTCAATTTCAAAATGTATAGGATGAACGCTACGTGCGCAGTGACTTTATAATAATGTGACGTGCTTGTTGAAAATGATCGCACTCTACGGTAGCGGAAAGTGTGGCACAACAATGAAAACCGGGATCGAAACACACGGTTTAAGTTCGAGTAGCATATTATTATTATTATTATTATATATAGACGCGATTACTTCGAGTGGAAAATCGTACGAGTAGAATCACAATGTTATTATTGATCGAATACGCTACAGTTAAAACATCTAAGAATGATGATGATGAAGTTATAACCTATATAGTATATACACACTAATGAGAGTTGCCCGGCAATCATCCACTAGCTCCGTAATATTGAATCCCTTATGTACACCCATCCCCTCCTCCCAAAAAGGACTGGTAAAAATCCACTTAAAATTATAAAACGACGACGGTCAAAATACATTTAAAATCTCAAAAAAAAGCACTGAAACGGAGTGACGTGCAATATTTTGAAAATATAATAAACTATTTATTATATTTTACATTTATACTATACACTATGTATATATTCTGAGCGATTCTCGGTGGAGTTGGGTTATACATGTTTTAAAAGGCCGTAATATTAACGATTTTCGTCAAAATTTCGCAATAAAATATTTAGGCAAATATGAGTTTTCTGTCTAAATGTCAAGTCTTTATGAATATTTTTAACTGGATTACAACAAAAAAACAAAATTGAAAATAATAAAAAAGCATTTTTTTTTTTTTTGGTGAATTTACCCATTTTTTTTACGTTTTTCCCCGGGTTTTAAAAGCTATTCTCAAAAATGCAGGAAAACCAAAAATTACCTTCCTAAAGTACCAACTATATAAAGTTTCCTTTCAGTGAATCTACTACTCTTAAAAATCGGAGCAATCATTTCTGATAGAAGTTTTTTACACAGCATAAAAAAAGCAAAAAAAAAAAAAAAACGATATCGTTTTAAAACCACTTCACTCAGAGTCTAAAATAGAGANTTTAAAAGCTATTCTCAAAAATGCAGGAAAACCAAAAATTACCTTCCTAAAGTACCAACTATATAAAGTTTCCTTTCAGTGAATGTACTACTCTTAAAAATCGGAGCAAGAATTTCTGATAGAAGTTTTTTACACAGCATAAAAAAAGCAAAAAAAAAAAAAAAAAAACCAAATAAATACATTAACCACAAATGTACAATAAGCCTATAATCACAATTTAAATAAACGCATAATGTTATTTTTTTAAAACGTCCCGAAACGAATATCCAGAAATTGGATAAAATTATGCCATTTTCGGAACCAAATAATTGCCCGACGCTAATTTATATTATGTTGACACTGAAGATATTATTATTCATAGCGCGTAAAACACATTTTGCATAAAACGGAAAGCGCCCAAATTACCGCACTTATAAAGAGTACAGTACTATACTATAATGCAAATTTACCATTTTTTTAAATAGACGCGATTTTATATTGTCCATAAAATTATCTACTATATTTACTTTCAGTACATACATTTTTAGACTCTGTGTGAAGCAAAAAATATGATGTTTTTACTAAGATGTATTTTGTGTGCGTGTTTGTGTTTTCTGTAAACAACTTTTACCAGAAATTATGATCCAATCAACGATTTTCTTGAAACTTACTTGTAGCATTTTCAATCTAGTTGACACATTGTGAGAGTCATTTTTTGTATTCCATTGTAGTTTTCTTAATAAATGGAAGACATTGACAAATTTATTGGATAATTTCTGTTTTGATTTTTGCTTTTTGGATTACCTTGGCAACAAGAAAAAAACTAATAACACACAGCTCGAATGCTCAGAATCGTTTTCCATAGCAATGGTTAATCGTAGCGTAGGTATAGATATATATTAAATTACTCTGTATGTTCTACCTTTCTACTGCTTTCCTAAAACAGTGACACACCCATTAGCAGTATCAGGTTTTTTTTAACATTTATATTTTAAAATATTTTCCAAAAAAACTAATTTGCATTTAATGTGTAATCAACATATCATTATAATCACACAAATGCGAGTATTACGATATATTATATAAAGTCCATTGATGTTTATGTAAATTAAAATATAATAGTACGTCTCGACGACGAGACAATGTTTTCTTTTTAGACACGACCATAATCGTAGTCTAATTTTTGTATTATTATAATAATATTCAATAATATTAGATTCACGTTTAACATGGCATGTTAATTTTTTAAACGTGTTTTACTATTTTTTAAAAATACTAATTCCGGAATAAAGAGTAGCCTAAATTTAAAAGAGATATACATTTAGAGAAAATATTTTTATTTGTTATGAAAGTTCATATAAAATCGGTTCAGCCATTTTCGACGTTACTCAGATCAAACCCACATTGCATTATGTAAAAAAAGGCTTCGCCCGTTAAATAAATAAAATAAAATAAAAATTGAACTACCAATTGATCTTTTTAAGATCATTGCAAATATTATATTAAAACGTTAATAATGTAATATGTGACATTTATGACAATATAATAGAATCTTAACTCAAAAAACAATTCGCGGTTAAATGAATTATGTATAATGGTGACAAGATATGAGTGACGCAGTTGGTTGATAAACCTTGGGAGGGGGGACTTGAGCCCCACTATAATATTAAATAAACGTGATTGTTCTTTGTATTAGGGGCGTCAGACGACCCAGAGGATTGTGTACTCTCAATAGTCACAATTCCTGGTGATTCAACATATCGTATGTGTATGTTTCCATCAACTTATCGTATACACTCCAGATGAAGAAGCACAGAACACGGAGAAAAATACATACTATACCGGGCAAAGCTAGTCAAATCAGCTAGTATATTTATACATTTTTGTTCCAGTATTTATATGAAGTTAAACAAATATTGTATTCGGAAATCATGTATTACGCGTCTAGAAAACGGTAACATCAAAGTATTTATTGAACATTTCAGCAGGTCTCCACTATTATTCCTCACTGAATTACAACACGAAAACAAAATACCATTTCGACAAAATAAACCGATGTTGCCGTTTTAACGGCGTGTTTTTTTTTTATCGATTATTCCTTATTATTAAAAAAATTACAAAAAATCGGTTAAAAAATGTATTATGTCCTGCCAATAGACCAAATCACATATAAAGTCTTGTAAATTTTTTTATTAAAGTATGTATAAGTCTTCTGGTTCAAAATCCGTTTGCAAACGAGACAAATAAAAAAAAACACCACTCACACTGCGTTGAGAAACTAAAAAAAATTCAAATAAATATTCGTTTCAATGTACGTGTTTGTTCCTATTTAACACATATCCCCGGAACAAATAGCGCACCATACAGTACAATAATAATATAATAATATGTTTGTTCCGTTTCGAGCGACCAAATAATATTCACCTGACATTGCGTTTTTCGATACTTAACAATAATAAATACCGAGCCACGTAATAATTCCTGACAATCGTTCGTCGGAGCTAATTTTTAAGTATAGTTTAGTGTTTAGTTTGTTTCTAGTTTTTCATCTATACAACGGTTGCAGGTGGCATACGTACCATGTACGTGTCTGAGAGTTTGTGTTTACTACTTATACGATACGGTCAGTGACTATAAAAAAAAAAAATAAAAAACAAACAAGAGCTGTTACTTCGCCGTATAATAGGTGTTTAGTGTTTACATGCATTACAATAATGATTAGAACTGTGAAGTTGTATCGAATGCGTCGGTTTTCAAGCTTATTGACGGCACGGCTTTTTTGACACATTTTTTGTAGGTCTTTTTCTTCCGTAAATTAAGTAAATTTTTTTTCAATGTATTTTATGGTATTTTTTTTTTTTAATCATGGTTTTTTTTAAAATATATATTTTAAAACTACGTAATGTATCAAATTTATTTATTGACGCTTCGGTGATGTATATACGATTTTTATCAGTTTTCGTTTTTTTTTTTTTTTTTCAAATGGGTGAGGGAAGGTTTCGAGAACCCCGCCGAGATAATAATATTATTATAACAAATAAATATCATGTGCCCGACGTCTCCAACAAACGTCGTCTCGTCGACGTTCGTATATGTATATATATTAAACGAGTACATATATATGCCGCGGATTTTACGACACAATCCGTTGCACACATGCACTAAACACACAGTACATGCGTATTAATGAAATATATAATATCCATCTTCGATATTCTGTAATATTATTATATTATACATAAAGACAGACGCTTACATTTCCATAAAAAAAAAACACTGGCCATCCTTCCCCGTGTGGCTGCGGTGTTTACACGCCCGGGGAGATAACGCGCGATACGTTCAAAATTTACAACGCGTATTTACTCCGCGACGAGGAGCTTATATATAATATAACTGTGGGTATATATAATAGTATAATGTAGATCTTGTCAACAAATCGACGAAGCCGCCTCGTCGGGACGAAAAAATAACATTTTAAAGACAGTTTTCGGAAGATAATGTAGTATGTCCTAGGCAATTACGAATTTTGTACACACACGATAAACCTACGAGACGATTTTTATTCCTGGTTTTTTTTTTTCAAATACGCCATCGTACTGTTACAGAATGCGGATACTTCGTTACGCGTCGTTTCATAAAATTACATCGTCGTGAAATGCCCTTAGAATATTTCTAATTTGAATAAGAAGAGATCGTGGGTTCGTCATATTGTAATAGTGTTTAAATCAAATCTATGGTCCGTTTTCAATACTGTTGATTTAACATGGCAATCAAATATAAAATTTACCAAGTCCCATCATGTATGACGGGCGTACAACTAGTGAGCAGATATTAATTGGATTGATATTTTCAATCCCGGGGAAAAATAATTCAAATCAAATTACTATATAGTTTGTAATACAAGTAAATTTAATGGTGTGAACATACACTTGTACATAAACTAATACACATACACTAATACGTTCCACATAAGTACACAAACAATTATAATATTAATAAGAAAAAATTATAAAAAAATATGCGAAAAATTAATTGGCGCGTTTATACTATATTTTCTTCTTCTATCTTCCTCCTCCTCCTCGGTCTCGGCCATTTAAGACCGAACCGCTCAATATTCTAATTCTTTCCGTAAACCGTTAGTCACGACCAGCTTTTCGTCAATCTTAACACAATCCACCCATCTTAAACGCGGTATTCTCAAAGGTCTTCTATTCTACCAACGGTGTATCCTCGATTGCCCTTTTTTTTTTTTTTTAATCATTGAACCATATTTCCGCCAGGAGTATTCCGGACACGGCGGTCTTTTTTTTCTTATCTCATTTACTTAATCTAGCCGTTTAACGTATACTCTATAATATACCTAGGATATCGTAATGCGGCGATATGCTGTTTTATCGCCTTTCCTAAACCGAGTACGAAATTACCATCAATAATATGTAGGAGGCGTTAATTCGTCAATTTGTATTAGATAATAATATTATATTATTCCGTTTTATAAACCGACAGGAAACACGTCATATTATTTTATTACGCAAGTAAGTACGTATAATATAATATAATACCGTAACAAACAAACACCGTTATCGAAGTGTGTTCGAGTGCAGGACCGGCATCGTAATAGTGTTAAAGCTCCACAAACCTCGGCGAAAAAAAAAGTCTCTAGATTACGTGATGCTTTAATAACACGAATACGCCCTTGGTGTACGCGTGTTAGTTATTTGTGCGGTATTTCGTTGCCGCTCTCCCGTGATATCGGAGGAGAGTGACGGTACCGCCCGAAGTTACGAGTAATCAGCCGATTTATACATCGAATTTCGAGTTGGCTGGTTGGGGAATTACGAAAAACGTGAAAAATAACGAATTCGTCGGATGTTGTCGGTGATGTTGACCCCACGATTCGTCCCAATCAACGATTCTATACAATATAGCGCAGTCGATATTCAGCAACCCAATAAACAGAGACTTATACGAGTAATAATTCTTGCCACCTACAGCAGAGCGAAATCGAAGGGTCAGCTTTTACTATTTCAAAAATATCGGTTTAAAAAAAAACCCGCCGATATCCGATATTTCACGATAACCTATATAACGTATCGGCCAATTTATTTTTCGGATTTCATCATCGCCGGCACACTGCACGAGACGAGCTGCGTGCCGCGAAGACGAAAACCAGTCAGAATGAATTGATAATAATAATTTATAGGTTAACATATTATTAAGTGATTGAAATTATTGACGTAGGTGATAATCCATTATTGTGTGAAGTATGTGTATTATTATTATCATGGACGCCCGAAGGGCAGAGAGGATGTATGACGGGCCTTTCCCCCCCCTGGACTTCGAAGATTCAAATATAATATTATTTTATGTATTTTACGGTGTTTGATTTTATTATGTCGCTTCCTGATAAATTTACTGTGGGTGCCCATAGGCATATCGTGTGTCTATATGAAATTTAAAGGCAGCAAATGTAGCAAAAACAACGGAGGACAGGGACGATGACAACACGTAGTTCAATTTTTTTTTATTTTAATATATTATATATTAATTTAGTTTTGTATGCCGACGCGTTTCTTTAGAAATACTATCGGGTATCGCCGTGTGCGGGGGTTAAGTCCTGTTCAGCGGTTTTCCTACAGTCGGTATCCCCGTGAACAATAGAGACGCACGCTGAAAACTCTGCAAACAAAATAGGTAAGTACTAAAAAATATCAAATTCACTCGTATTAAAATAATACGAACAATAATAATATAATATCGTTCCATTTACTAAAAATACACTGAGAGAACACGATAACAATATAATACCGTATAAAAAATACCGAGTGGCGACGTGCGTAATATTATTATAATATATTGTACCCGGAAAAGGAGACTACGGGATGGTAACAAAATGGCATTCGTATTTTGTAAAACGTAACAAAGTCGCGATCCGAATCGATTATTTCGAATTTTCCTCGGAAATCGATATTATTGTTAATGCAACGTTCTAAAATTTCACGAAATTGCATTTCCAATATACTTAGATGTACCGTGTTTCTGATTATACTGTTAAATTATTGAACTATTGAAAATATACACAAAATTACAGTTTAACGCTCTTTAAATAGGAGTTACACACAATACACACCCCGACATGTTAGATTCGAAAAGCGAATCGTCTGACGTATCCGAAAAGACTGACGCTGTTCGGCTTGTCTGACTTGCTGACTTGCGGAGACGGGTAACGCAGCTAATATATTATGTATAAAATTAAAGATTATCAACCTTCGCACGTTTAAAGTACGAGATTGAAAAACAATAATAACCTAAATGTTCCATTTAATTACGCTAGTTATGGTTATCTAAGTCCAGTTATTAAACATGTTTTATTACTACGCAAATACAATATTAATGTTTTAATGTTATTAGTTACGAATTTTTTTATTTTTATAATTTTTTAATTTAATGTTTAGTACTATATCATATTTGAATTGAACTCAATTTATCTGCTTTCAAGCTTTGCTAATAGAATGAGTTATCAACTTGTAATCAAAAAAAAAATGTATATACCATACCTACATACATTTTTATATATAAATATAATATTACCAGTGTTTAACTTAGGGAGATTAAATCATATGATAATGTTTTTCATCCGTCCTGTAAAACTTCAAAAACTAAGATACATACTATCGCAGTATAATAATATCTTGTTCTCGCTACTTTTGGACACTTCTAGTGACTCCTTATTATTGATCAATTTCTCAAACTTAGGAATTGAAATTGTTTTCTAGGCGGATTCAATTGATAATAGTTGAGTTCAATTTCAATATAAATTTAACTATGTTGTTGCGGAAAGAGGATAATTTTTAACTCTGTACACCTCCGCATACTCCCTAAATGAATTCAAATGGTTGAAATGTTGTGTATTACATGATGTTGTATAGACTCATCAGCATCTAATTATTAAAATAAATTCAAATGTGTACTATTTTTTTTTTCTATTGAGGGTTAATAGCATTGTTTTTTTTATTTTTGGTTAAATTAGCCAAACATTTTT